AAAAAACAACATAACCGTAAGATTAACAAAACAAAATATAAACATAAAAATTGTCGCCATAACACACATATTAAAAGAATCCTGCCTGTTCAACAATAATATTAGGTACGGGTCTGTGGCTGTTCATTCCGGGGCCGATTAGAGGAAATGATCTGGGTAATTGGTAGGAAGAATAAGGCCGTATTCGACAATGTGTAGGGCTGAGTTAGAACTGGTCATTTTCAAAGGCTTGTTGAAACCACCAGTTCTTCAAGCTCTTACAAAAGGAGGGGAGGGATGGGGCCTGTCTTATTTCCCTTGGAAGGACGTTCCAGAGGCGGGGGGCCACCACCGAGAAGGCCCTCTCTCTCGTCCCCACCAACCGCACTTGAGACGGTAGTGTAGCGGTTCTCAACCTGGGGGTCGCGACCCCTCGGGGGGTCGTTTGGCCATTTTCTGGGGGTCGCGAAGCCGCATTGGCTGGCCATGCCCCCTCCAAAATGGCGGCCGACCCACAAGTCAATTGTACTGATAGGCTGCTCCTCCTGATCTTCCCAGAGATCTGTGGTAGTCAGGAGGAGGAGCTTTGGACGAAAAGGCGTGCAGGAAGAAGACTCACCATTTCTTGAAGACTGTTCTGGGCTGAAGGGTGAGTAAACTTCTTCCTGCAGTTCTGAATGCCTAGCCGTCCATGGAGCCATCCGCCCATCCCTCGCCCCCTCCAAAATGGCGGCCGACCCCCTGCGCCACTGGCATTCCCGCGCGCGAAGCCATCCGCCTGTCCCTCATCTCCTTCTGATGGCAGAAGGAGGCGAGGGACGGGTGAGTGGCTCTGCGGGGGCCTAGATCACGCGCGAAGCCACCCGCCCTTCCCTCACCTCCTTCTGCATTAGAAAGGTTGAGAACCACTGAACTAGAAGATCTTATTTTCCCAAACTCCACAACGTTCACATTTGGCAGAATGGGGAACACGTGGCTCGAGAGAAGTATGTGTGACAAAGATCTTGGAGTCCTCATGGACAACAAGTTAAACATGAGCCAACAATGTGATGTGGCGGCAAAAAAAAGCCAATGGATTTTGGCCTGCATCAAGAGGAGCCTAGTGTCTAGATCTAGGGAAGTCATGCTCCCCATGCTCTATTCCGCTTTGGTTAGACCACTTTACCTGGAATATTGTGTCCAATTCTGGGCACCACAATTCAAGAGAGATATTGACTCTAAGATGGAATGTGTCCAGAGGAGGGCGACTAAAATGATCAAGGGTCTGGAGAACAAGCCCTATGAGGAGCGGCTTAAAGAGCTGGGCATGTTTAGCCTGAAGAAGAGAAGGCTGAGAGGAGACATGATAGCCATGTATAAATATGTGAGAGGAAGTCAGGGAGGAGGGAGCAAGCTTGTTTTCTGCTTCCCTGGAGACTAGGATGCAAAACAATGGCTTCACTTATGAAGAACAAGCCCTATGAGGAGCGGCTTAAGGAGCTGGGCATGTTTAGCCTGAAGAAGAGAAGGCTGAGAGGAGATATGATAGCCATGTATAAATATGTGAGAGGAAGCCACAGGGAGGAGGAGGGAGCAATCTTCCTTTCTGCTTCCCTGGAGACTAGGACGCAATGGAGGAATGGCTTCAAACTAGGAGAACAAGCCCTATGAGGAGCGGCTTAAGGAGCTGGGCATGTTTAGCCTGAAGAAGAGAAGGCTGAGAGGAGACTATGATAGCCATGTATAAATATGTGAGAGGAAGTCACAGAGATGAGGGAGCAAGCTTGTTTTCTGCTTCCTTGGAGACGAGGACATGGAACAATGGCATCAAACTACAAGAAAGGAGATTCCATCTGAACATTAGGAAGAACTTCCTGACTGTGAGAGCTGTTCAGCAGTGGAACTCTCTGCTGCCCCGGAGTGTGGTGGAGGCTCCTTCTTTGGAAGCTTTTAAACAGAGGCTGGATGGCCATCTGTCAGGGGTGATTTGAATGCAATATTCCTGCTTCTTGGCAGAATGGGGTTGGACTGGATGGCCCATGAGGTCTCTTCCAACTCTTTGATTCTATGATTCTATGATTCTCTGCCCCGGAGGGAGTGTGGTGGAGGCTCCTTCTTTGGAAGCTTTGAAACAGAGGCTGGATGGCCATCTGTCAGGGGTGATTTGAATCCAATATTCCTGCTTCTTGGCAGAATGGGGTTGGACTGGATGGCCCAGGAGGTCTCTTCCAACTCTAGGATTCTATGATTCCATCATTTGAGTCCACAGTTCTCTCTGATGTAGATGAACTACAACTCTAAAAATCAAGGTCAGTGCACACCAAACCCTTCCAGTATTTTGTGTTGGTCTTGGGAGTTCTGTGTGCCAAGTTTGATTCAATTCCATCGTTGAGAGGTGAGAACTGCCTTCTCCACCTCTGTTCCTTCATTTGCTTTGAAAGAGATGAAGGAACAGAGGTGGAGAAGGCAGTTCTCACTTGCAAGCATTCATCTCTGCTGCTGAAGTTCAGTGCATGTTGAGTTTTATGGTGATATCTGTTCATTTGTCCATCCCTGTTTGGCTGCTGCTCTTGGGCAGGACTTCTGTGATTTTGGGATGCTGCAGAAGGTGGCCAACATGGATGGGTGGTGTAACAGGATGGGCCGTGGCCCCTCACAGAATGGATGTGAGAACGAAATGAGGGGCGAGGCCCCTGTGTGCTGTGACCCTTGAGCAGAAGGCAGGGGAAGAAAGAGTAGCCGGTGGATGCCAGCAACAGCACGGCCACATGACGTGGACCTTGATATTGTCGCTGAGGAGCCATATTAGGACCTTGAGGAGGGACTCTTTTCTTCCGTCCTTGCCATTGACTCTTCTGCAAATCCTCATTTCCAGGCCGCCCTGGGGTATTGCATACTTTAGTCAAAGTTGTTTATCATTTGGCGCAAGGCTTTCTTATTTGCAGGAGCAAAAAGTGCTGAGTCCGGTGGAACTCCAACAGAGTGATTCATGCAGCTTCAAACAGTTTTGCAGGCGAGGGATTTTCTTTGGCCGTTGTCTGTCGGGGGCCAATTGCTTGGGCCGAACACCGTTCCCTTTCCTTGTGCATCTCCTCCTCCTCCGTCTTCATAAAGCGCCACCCCAACTTCCCGAGCCAGGGATGGCGAAATGCGTATCGGTCTTATTAACCTCGGAGGAAACTTGGATTTGGGCAAAGTCCTGGAACGTGTGGTAGCTTCAGGTATTCTTGGAAGACATGGATTATCTGGATCCGGCACAGTCTGGCTTTAGGCCGGGACATGGAACTGAAACAGTCTTGGTCGCCTTAGTGGATGATCTACGCCGGGAGCTGGACAGGGGGAGGTGTCCCTGTTAGTTCTGCTGGACCTCTCAGCGGCCTTCGATACCGTCGACCACGGTATCCTTCTGGGACGCCTCGCGGGAATGGGCCTTGGAGGCACTGTTCTGCAGTGGCTCAGGTCCTTCCTAGAGGGTCGATCTCAGAAGGTGTTGCTGGGGGACACCTGTTCAACCCCACAACCATTGTCTTGTGGGGTTCCTCAGGGTCAATATTGTCTCCCATGTTGTTTAACATCTACATGAAGCCGCTGGGGGAGATCATCCGGAGTTTCGGGGTACGGTGTCATTTGTACGCGGATGATGTCCAACTCTGTCACTCCTTTCCACCTGCTACTAAGTAGGCTGTCCAGGTCCTGAACCGGTGCTGTGACGGTCTGGATGAGGGCAAACAAATTGAAACTGAATCCAGACAAGACAGAGGTACTCCTGGTCAGTCGTAAGCCCGAACAGGGCATAGGGTTACAGCCTGTGTTGGATGGGGTTGCACTCCCCCTGAAGACGCAGGTTTGCAGCTTGGGAGTGACCCTGGACTCATCGCTGAGCCTGGAACCCCAGGTTTCAGCGGTGACCAGGGGAGCATTTGCACAGCTAAAGCTTGTGCGCCAGCTGCCCGTACCTTGGGAAGTCTGACTTGGCCACGGTAGTCCACGCTCTGGTTACATCCCGCATAGACTACTGCAACGCTCTCTACATGGGGTTGCCTTTGAAGACTGCTCGGAAGCTTCAAATGGTCCAGCGTTCGGCAGCCAGGTTGCTAACAGGAGCGGCACTCAGGGAGCATACTACTCCTCTGTTGCGCCAGCTCCACTGGCTGCCAGTTTGCTACCGGGCACAATTCAAAGTGCTGGCGTTAGCCTATAAAGCCCTAAATGGTTCTGGCCCACCTCTCCGAACGCATCTCCTCCTATGAACCGACTAGGACACTAAGATCATCTGGGGAGGCCCTGCTCTCGGTCCCGCCTGCATCACAGGCACGCTTGGTGGGGACGAGAGACAGGGCCTTCTCAGTGGTGGCCCCTCGGCTGTGGAACGCCCTGCCTGCAGATATCAGATCGGCCCCCTCCCTGCTGGCGTTTCGGAGGAAAGTGAAGACCTGGCTGTTCGAACAAGCATTTGATTAAACAGTGTAATTGAACATAGGAATACGGAATAATGGATGATGAGACTGGATTCTGATTTTACTGTTGAGGCGCTAATGATTGTTATACTGATGTTTAATGATTTATGTTACAATTGTTTTTAATTGCTCTATACTTGTCTCGTGATGTTTTGTATCGATGTTGTTCACCGTTTTGAGTCGCCTGAGGGCTGAGAAAAGCGGCAGTATAGAAATAAAGTAAATAAATAAATAAAATAAATATTGTGCTATGGTAATAATATAATATATTGTATTTACAAAAATACTTACTTGTAAGCCGCTCTGAGTCCCCTTCGGGGTGAGAAGGGCGGCATAGAAATGTCGTAAATAAATAAAAATAAATAATAATACTTGCGAGACTTCAGAGCAAGCCCTTTTCATTGCAGGTGACCAGGAATGTGAAATGTTTCAGACAGATGCTTTAATGCCTTCCCTTTTAGCCACACGGTGTACATTAACTATAGCTGGTATCCACTATGTTGATATCAATGTCCCCCTGTTTTGGTGAAGGCCTGAGCCCACATGGAACAGAGATTCACTTTCAATTTTTGTGTTATTTCATAGGAAAATCATCAGAAAGAAGCCCTTTCCCGTTGTTTGGTCGGGAGCCTGGACTCTCCGCCTGTCAGGTAAGTGTGCCACTTTCAAAAGCATTGCTGCCATGCTTGTTTTGCATTTTGGGGCCCAAGTGTGGGGCGCCTCTGGCTTCTCGAGCAAACAGGCTCTGACTGCTGACCTGAACCACTTTGGATGGTGGAAGAACAGCTTCACCCTTCCACGGGCACAAGGTGACTCACCCAATGATAGAATCCTAGAGTGGGATTCAATATCTCTCACAATTCAATATCTCTCTTGAATTGTGGTGTCCAAAACTGGACACAATATTCTAGGTAAAGTGGTCTAACCAAAGCGGAATAGAGCATGGGGAGCAGGACTTCCGTGGACCTAGACACTAGGCTCCTATTGATGCAGGCCAAAATCCCATTGGCTTTTTTTGCTGCCACATCACATTGTTGGCTCATGTTTAACTTCCTCCCCACGAGGACTCCAAGGTCTTTTCCGAGCCAGGCCTCATCGTCCCCCATTCTGTCTCTTTGCATTTCGTTTTTCCTGCCTAAGTGGAGTATCTTGCATTTGTCGCTGTTGAACTTCATTTTGTGAGTTTTGGCCCATCATCTCTCTAATCCAGGGGTCGGGAACCTTTGGCCCTCCAGCTGTGGTGGACTTCAACTCCCACAATTCCTTGAGGCTCGGCATTCGCCCCAAAGGCTTACCTTGGCCCAACGAGGTTTGTTTGGCTCTTTTTCATGGAGGACGGGCAGCAAAGGGGGAGAGACGAGCGTAACGTAGCTGTGCAGATGGCGAGGAAGGATGCGGAGCCCACAGACTGGCCTCGGAGGGAGAGAGCGGGCGGAAACCCCTGCGGGCAACGCGCTTCCTCGCCGCTTCGGCCCTTAGCACCCGCCCCGCATGGACCCCCTCCCTAGCAACGACGCCGGCTGAGTGACGTCGTGCAGAGCTTGTCGGGGAAAAGGGAAGGCGAAGGCTGGAGGGAAAGGGCTCTGCGCTGTTTAAGCGGCGAGGAGGCGCGTTGCCCGCAGGGGTTTCCGCCCGCTCTCTCCCTCCGAGGCCAGTCTGTAGGCTCCGCATCCTTCCTCGCCATCTGCACAGCTACGTTACGCTCGTCTCTCCCCCTTTGCTGCCCGTCCTCCATGAAAAAGAGCCAAACAAACCTCGTTGGGCCAAGGTAAGCCTTTGGGGCGAATGCCGAGCCTCAAGGAATTGTGGGAGTTGAAGTCCACCACAGCTGGAGGGCCAAAGGTTCCCGACCCCTGCTCTAATCTGTCAAGATCGTTTTGAATCCTGCTCCTGTCCTCTGGAGTGTTGGCTCTCCCTCCCCATTTGGTCCCATCTGCAAACGTGATGATCCTGCCTCCTAGCCCTTCATCCAAGTCATGAATTAAGATCCTGATCAGGACCGGGCCCAGGACGGAACCCTGTTTGTGGCCCTCCGCTCGTCCCTTCTTTCCAGGATGAAGAGGAGGAAGCTTTGGGGAGAATCACCCTCTGGGTTCCTCCATTTAACCAATTTCACATCCACCTCACCATAGTTTGGCCTCGCCCACCTTGGACTAGTTTTCTTGCCAGAAGGTCATGGGGGACCTTGTCAAAGAAGGCCTTCCTGAAATCCAGGCACGCTCCATCCACGGCATCATTCCCCGCATCTACCCAGCTTGTAGCTCTATCGAAAGAAGAGATCAGATGAGTCTGGCATGACTTGTTTTTGATCAATCCATGTTGACTCTTAGCGATGACCGCATTTGTTTCTAAGTGTTTGCAGACCACTTCCTTGACCATCTTTTCCAGAATCTTGCCTGGTATCGACGTGAGGCTGACCGGACATTAGTCATTGTTTGGGTCATCCTTTTTTCCCTTCTTGAAGATTGGGACCACCTTGGCCCTTCTCCAATCTGCTGGAACTTCTCCCGTTCTCCAAGAACTCTCCAAGATGATTGCCAAGGGTTCCGAAACGACTTCCTTCCGCTCGTTCCTTCAATACTCTTGGGTGGAGTTGATCTGGCCCCTGAAAGGGGACTTGGACTCATTGAGAGCGGCCAGGGATTCCAAGGCAGAGGGCTTGCTCCCCATCGTCTTCATTATTTCATGCCTTCAAAAGTGTTGGCTAGCCATAGAAACCAGAGTTCCTTGGGACATTGTTTTGTACTCATGATAGTTTTCTTGGGGGGAAGAAACCAGCAGAGTCTTGCTTGAAAGAAGCGCGTTTTTGAATCTGAAGTTAATTTGGCCAGACATCTTTATGACGCAAAGAGGGCCGCAGGTGCGGAGAATCGGCCGGCGGAGAAGCAGGCAGCCGGTCACCAAGGAAGGCAAGGAGCGCCTTCAGGAGGGACACACAGCCATTCAAACAAGTGTCGCCTTCCCTTCTCTTAAGCACAGCATTGCTTTTCATGGCATTATTGGGATGGGTCTCGGGGGCACGGCTTTGTTGTGGCTTCGGTCCTTCCTGGAGGGTTGATCCCAGATGATGAAGCTGGGAGATGCCTGCTCGGACAAGGGCAAGGTGATGGAGCGGGTGGTGGCCTCCCAGCTCCAGGGTTTTCTGGATGACAACAACTACCTAGATCAGTCACAGTCTGGTTTCAGGCCTGGTCACGGCACCGAGACAGCCTTGGTCGCCTTGGTGGATGACCTCCGTAGAGAGCTGGACAGGGGGAGTGTGACCCTGCTGGTTCTCTTGGACATCTCAGCGGCTTTCGATACCATCGATCATGGTATCCTTCTGGGTCGCCTCTCTGGGATGGGTCTCGGGGGCACGGTTCTGTCGTGGCTCCGGTCCTTCCTGGAGGGACGAACCCAGATGGTGAAGCTGGGAGACGCCTGCTCGGATCCCTGGCCTTTGACCTGTGGGGTCCTGCAAGGCTCTATTCTGTCTCCCATGCTCTTTAACATCTACATGAAACCGCTGGGAGAGGTCATCCGGAGTTTTGGAGTTGGGTGCCATCTCTACACAGATGACGCACAACTCTACTACTCTTTTCCACCTAAATCCAAGGAAGCTCTCCAGATCGTGAGTCATTGCCTGTCAGCTGTGATGGACTGGATGAGGGCCAACAAGCTGAGACTTAGTCCAGAGAAGACAGAGGTCCTCCTGGACAATCACAAAGCCGATCGGGGTATAGGGTGGCAACCTGTGCTTGATGGAGTTACAATCCCTTTGAGGACACAGGTCCGCAGTTTGGGAGTCCTCCTGGATTCATTGCAACGCTTGAGGCTCAGGCGTCGGCAGTGGCCGGGAGGGCCTTTGCACAACTGAGACTCGTGCGCCAACTGCGACCGTACCTCGCGAAGGCTGATCTGGCTGGGGTGGTCCATGCCTTAGTCACCTTTAGACTGGACTACTGTAATGCACTCTACGTGGGGCTGCCCTTGAAAACGACCCGGGAATTTCAATTGGTTCAACAAGCAGCGGCCAGGATGTTAACTGGTGCCTCTTACAGAGAGAGGTCAACCCTCCTGTTCAAGGAGCTCCACTGGCTGCCGTTTATTTTCCGAGCCCAATTCAAGGTGCAGGTGCTTACCTACAAAGCCCTGAACGGTTTGGGACCATCCTACCTGTGTGACTGCATCTCCGTTTATGAACCCACGCGCTCTCTTCGTTCATCCGGAGAGGCCCTGCTTGCGATCCCACCTGCATCGCAGGCGCGTTTGGTGGGGACGAGGGACAGGGCCTTTTCTGTGGTGGCCCCCCGACTTTATTTATTTATTTATTTATTTCACTTACTTATACCCCGCCCTTCTCGCCAACCTCACTTGTGATAGTGGCGGGGTCGAGAGCAGGGCCTCCCCAGAAGATCTTAAGCTTCGAGATGGGATGTAGAACACCTTATGGGAGTGAACTGGAGTATCCCCGAGGCCTATTCCCGCGAGGTGTCTTAGGAGGTGTCCCGTGGTCGGTATCCTCCTGGGCCGATGAGAGGTCCACAGAACCGACAGGGACACACTCCCCCTGTCCAGTTCCCGGCGAAGATCATCCACTAAGGCAACCAAGGCTGTCTCAGTACCATGTCCCGGCCTAAAGCCAGACTTCGCTGGATCCAGATAATCCATGTCTACCAGGAAATCCATCTGTATTTCTAGTGAAGTTATTGGAGGGCCAGTTGCGATTCTTTCCTTTTATGCAATCGATTGCTGATGGAAACTGCTTTGTGATAGAATTGTGTGATGCTGCGCCTAAGTGCGTGCGATGGTCATCTCATTTTAGCAGATGTGGCTTGAGACGATGTGGAATCCCCCAGTTGGGTGAGGCAGGGCAGCAAACGGGGTCCTCCGTCCCCCCACAAATGCCCACCATCACCCACTAGGCTTATGTTACTGTTTTATTGTCTTGTTTTAAATTGCTTGTATTGTTGTTGTTATTGCTTGTATTGTTGTATTTTGGGCTTGGCCTCATGTAAGCCGCGCCCAGTCCCTTGGGGAGATGGTAGCGGGGTAGAAATCAAGTGTTATTATTATTATTATTATTATTTCCTGTATGAAAACAATCAATAGCCAGCACAGACACAATGTTCTTTGCGGATTAGCCGAGGCGCCTTGTTGTCCTCTGCACTTCTGGGAGGAGGAGCCTTTTGCAACCCTTGGCAGCTTATTAGCGGAGACAGTAATCCAGCAACGCGGGTCTGACGGCCAGGAGGGTGACCTGCCATCGATTATCCCTGAGTAATTGGATGTGTCTTGAGCAGATGAGGTTTCGGCCTGCTACAAGGACTCCAGGTCGGCCTCTGCGTATCATGCAGGTCCTTGGGAGGAGACCTCAGGCAGTCGGTTGGGAGTGGACATCATGTCAAGCAGGGGGACGCTTTTTTTGCACACACACACACACACACACACACACACACCCCGCACCTCAATCCCTGGAGTGCCTTTCAGTTCCTTCTGCCAGGCAGAAAAGTCAATGGAATGCGTCAATCGCATCTTTATTGATTTCGATAGAGTTACAAGCTGGCTAGATGCGGGGAATGATGCCGTGGATGGAGCGTGTCTGGATTTCAGGAATTTATTTATTTATTTGTTTACAGCTTTTCTCTTCCGCCCTTCTCCTCACCCCGCAGGGGACTCAGGGCGGATCACATTGTACACATATATGGCAAACATTCAATGCCAAATTTTGACATACCAACATACACAGACATGACATACACAGAGGCTATTATCGAGAGAAGGGCCTCCCCAGACGATGAAGCACTTCCGCATTCCCCGCATGCTTCCCCGCTGGAATGCTTTGCTGGAGTCTTCTTTATGGCCTCATAAATCAGTTAATTTAGCCTCCCCACACTTTAAGGTGGTACCTAATTTTCCTACTTGACAGATGCAACTGTCTTTCAGGTTGCAAAGGTCGACAACAGGCTACACACAATTGGTTGGAAACCCACTCCAACCCAGACTGGCTTCGAACTCATGACCTTTTTGGTCAGAGGGATCTTAATGCAGCTGACACTCAGCCAGCTGCGCCACAATCCCGGTGCAGGGATTGTGGAAGGAAGGCCTTCTTTGACAAGGTCCCCCATGACCTTTTGGCAAGGAAACGAGTCCAATGTGGGTGAGGCAAAACTATGGTGAGGTGGGTCTGGAATTGATTAAACGGAAGAACTCAGAGGGTGATTCTCCCCAAGGCTTCCTTCTCTTCATCCTGTAAAGAAGGGACGAGTGGAGTGCCATCCACAGGGTTCTATCCGGGCCCGGTCCTGCTCAGGATCTTCATTCATGACTCAGATGAAGGGCCAGAAGGCAGGATCATCAAGTTTGCAGACGGGACCAAATGGGGAGGGAGAGCCAAGACTCCAGAGGACAGGAGCAGGACTCAAAGGGATCTTGACAGATTAGAGAGATGAAGGGCCAAAACTCACACAATGAAGTTCAAGAGGGACAAATGCAAGAGACTCCACTTTGGCAGAAAAAACGAAATGCAAAGAGACAGAATGGGGGACGATGAGGCCTGGCTCGAGAACAGGACGTGTGGAAAAGATCTTGGAGTCCTCGTGGGGAGGAAGGGGAACATGAGCCAACAATGTGATGTGGCGGCAAAAAAAGCCAATGGGATTTTGGCCTGCATCAAGAGGAGCCTAGTGTCTAGGTCCAGGGAAGTCATGCTCCCCATGCTCTATTCCGCCTTGGTTAGACCACACCTGGAATATTGTGTCCAATTCTGGGCACCACAATTGAAGAGAGATATTGAGAAGCTGGAATGTGTCCAGAGGGGCGACTAAAATGATCAAGGGTCTGGAGAACAAGCCCTATGAGGAGCGGCTTAAGGAGCTGGGCATGTTTAGCCTGAAGAAGAGAAGGCTGAGAGGAGATATGATAGCCATGTATAAATATGTGAGAGGAAGCCACAGAGAGGAGGAGGGAGCAAGCTTGTTTTCTGCTTCCCTGGAGACTAGGATGCAATGGAACAATGGCTTCAAACTCCAAGAGAGGAGATTCCATCTGAACATGAGGAAGAACTTCCTGACTGTGAGAGCCGTTCAGCAGTGGAACTCTCTGCCGGAGTGTGGTGGAGGCTCCTTCTTTGGAAGCTTTTAAACAGAGGCTGGATGGCCATCTGTCAGGGGTGCTTTGAATGCAATATTCCTGCTTCTTGGCAGAATGGGATTGGACTGGATGAAGGCCCAGGAGGTCTCTTCCAACTCTTTGATTCCATGATTCTACCAGGGCAAGAAAACATCATCAAAACCCTCCTGACAGAGAGCCATCCAGCCTTAAGTATAGATAGATATGACTCTCACACACATGTATATGATAGATATAATATCATAGATTTGAAAAGGGACCGGAATCACTGATGGTTGTAGGTTTTTTCGGGCTCCATGGCCATGGTCTAGAGGCATTCTCTCCTGACATTTTGCCTGTATCTGTGGCAAGCATCCTCAGAGGTAGTGAGGTCTGTTGGAACTAGGAAAAAGGGTTTATATATCTGTGGAATGATGTCCAGGGTGGGACAAAGGACTCTTGTCTGTTGGAACTAGGTGTGAATGTTTCAACTGACCACCTTGATTAACATTTGATTGCCTAGCAGTGCCTGAGGCAATCTTTAAAAAACTCTAAAATTAGAACAGCACAACAACAGAGAGGAAACAAACAAGGACATCTAATCACATCTCAACAAAAGATTGCTCCAGGCACTGATAGGTAGAATTCAGGTAGAATTCAGAATGCTCTTTGATTATAAGTGAAAATTGGGTTTATTTATCTGTGGAATGACCACGATGGGACAAAGGACTCCTGTCTGCTGGAGCTAGGAGTGAATGTTTCAACTGACCACCTTGTTTAGCATTTGATTGCCTGGCAGTGCCTGGAGCAATCTTTTGTGGAGAGGTGATTAGATGTCCTTGTAGCAACTGTTAGGATTGTGGGAGTTGAAGTCCAAAACACTTGGGGGGAGGCCCAAAGTTGTCCCGATGGGGAATGGGGTCCTTCTGTGGGGATGATGCCTTTGTCTTCATGCTCACTGCATGGTGCCTCTCTCTTGCAGGCCAACCTCCTCCGGCCAGACATTGGCCTCGGAAGCCCGGGCCCCGTCTCCTCCTCCTCCTCTTCCTCGTCCTCAGGAAAAGCCGGGACACCGTACTTCCCGTTTTCCACCGCCACCGCCAACCCACGGCGAAGGCCGCTCCGCGATTCCTCGTCTTCTCTGGGTGAGTGGGCACACTCGCGGGTGCTGCTGCCGCCTGCTTGCATGAGTTTGACGCCTGCGTTGTTCAGGGCAACGTCCAATTACGTCCCCCAAGGATTCTTCCTGATGGTCGGTCGCCTTCAGTTCCCTGTCGATTTGTATCCTGCTTAATCCTGGGGGCCGGGGTTTCGTAATCAGGTTTGAAGGATCAGCGAGAGAGAGAGAGAGATGAATGGGGGCCTCCTCGGCTTTGCTCCCCTCTCCCTTTGGGAGGGAGCAGCCATGACGGCCTTTCTTTCCTCTGGCGGGTTTCCCCTTGGCCCCGTCCCACAGAACCCTCCGGGCCAGGTCCTTCTTCTAGGGTGCATTTTATTCTCAAGCCGTAGTGAGAAAATCCCGCTCTTTCCTGTCCTCTCTTCATGCTCTTTCAGCACTTCAATATCAAACACAAACTCATTTGGCATGGGTTGTTGTAGATTTTTTAGGGCTTTGTGGCCATGGTCTCCTGACGTTTCGCCTGCATCTGTGGCAAGCATCCTCAGAGGTAGTGAGGTCTCTTGGAACTAGGGAAAAGGGTTTATATATTTGTGGAATGACCAGGGTGGGACAAAGGTCTCTTGTCTGCTGGAGCTAGGTGTGAAAGGGTTGTTGTAGGTTTTTTCGGGCTATATGACCATGGTCTAGAGGCATTCTCTCCTGATGTTTCGCCTGCATCTGTGGCAAGCATCCTCAGAGGGAGTGAGGTCTCTTGGAACTAGGAAAATGGGTTTATATATCTGTGGAATAATGACCAGTGTGGGATAAAGGTCTCTTGTCTGCTGGAGATAGGTGTGAAAGGGTTGTTGTAGGTTTTTTCGGGCTATATGACCATGGTCTAGAGGCATTCTCTCCTGATGTTTCACCTGCATCTATGGCAAGCATCCTCAGAGGTAGTGAGGTCTGTTGGAACTAGGAAAAAGGGTTTATATATCTATGGAATGACCAGGGTGGGACAAAGGACTCTTGTCTGCTGGAGCTAGGTGGGAATGTTTCAACTGACCACTTTGATTAGCATATAATGGCCTGACAGTGCTTGGGGTAATCTTTTGTTGACGTGATTAGATGTGCCTGATTGTTTCTCCTCTGTATTGTCGAAGGCTTTCATGGCCGGAATCACTGGGTTGTTGTAGGTTTTTTCGGGCTATATGGCCATGTTCTAGAGGCATTCTCTCCTGACGTTTCGCCTGCATCTATGGCAAGCATCCTCAGAGGTAGTGAGGTCTGTTGGAACTAGGAAAAAGGGTTTATATATCTGTGGAATGACCAGGGTGGGACAAAGAACTCTTGTCTGCTGGAGCTAGATGTGAATGTTTCAACTGAGCACCTTGATTAGCATTTGTTTGCCTGGCAGTGCTTGGAGCAATCTTTTGTTGAGAGGTGATTAGATGTCCTTGTTTGTTTCCTCTCTGTTGTTGTGCTGTTGTAATTTTAGAGTTTTTTTAATACTGGTAGCCAGATTTTGTTCATTTTCACGGTTTCTTCCTTTCTGTTGAAATTGTCCACCTGCTTCTTGTGGATTTCAGTGGCTTCTCTGTGTCGTCTGACATGGTGGTTGTGAGAGTGGTCCAGCATTTCTGTGTTCTCAAATAATCTGCTGTGTCCAGGTTGGTTCCTCAGGTGCTCTGCTATGGCTGACTTCTCTGGTTGAAGGAGTCTGCCGTGCCTTTCATGTTCCTTGACTCGTGTCTGGGCAATGCTGCTGCGTTTGGTGGTCCCTTCGTAGACTTCTTGTCCACAGGTGCATTGTACACGGGAGACTCCTGCAGAGGTGAGAGGGTCCCTCTTGTCCTTTGCTGAACGGAGCATTGGTTGGATTTTCTTGGTGGGTCTGGAGATAGTTTGTATGTTGTGTTTCCTCATCCGCTTCCCTCTGCGGTCAGTGGTTCCCTTGATGTCTGGCAAGAACACTTCTCCTCTGGGTGGGTCTTCGTCTTGACTCTCGTGGCTGCATGGCCCAGACACGAATCAAGGAACAGGAAAATTACAACAGCAAAACAACAGAGGGGAAACAATCAAGGACATCTAATCACTTCTCAACAAAAGATTGCCCCAAGCACTGTCAGGCCATTCAATGCTAATCAAGGTGGTCAGTTGAAACATTCCCACTTTGCTCCAGACAAGAGTCCTTTGTCCCACCCTGGACATCATTCCACAGATATATAAACCCATTTTCCTAGTTCCAACAGACCTCACTACCTCTGAGGATGCTTGCCATAGATGCAGGCGAAACATCAGGAGAGAATGCCTCTAGAACATGGCCATATAGCCCAAAAAAAAAAATCTACAACAACCCAGTGATTCCAGCCAGGAAACGCTTTGACAATTCACTTGGTATGGGTTACAATGGTTGCTTGGTGCCTTCTGAATCCCCTCTTGCAGCCCTTTGCTCACTTTAGCCACTTTGTGCCATTGTTGCTGCTTAGAATCCTAGAATCCTAGAGTGGGAAGAGACCTCCTGGGCCATCATCCAGTCCAACCCCATTCTGCCAAGAAGCAGGAAAATTGCATTCAAATCACCCCTGACAGATGGCCACCCAGCCTCTGCTTAATAATAATAATAATAATAATAATAATAATAATAATAATAGAATCCTAGAGTTGGAAAAGACCTCCTGGGACATCCAGTCCAACCCCATTCTACTAAGAAGCAGGAATATTGCATTCAAATCACCCCTGACAGATGGCCATCCAGCCTCTGCTTAATAATAATAATAATAATAATAATAATAATAATAGAATCCTAGAGTGGAAGAGACCTCCTGGGCCATCCAGTCCAACTCCATTCTGCCAAGAAGCAGGAATGTTGCATTCAAATCACCCCTGACAGATGGCCATCCAGCCTCTGCTTAATAATAATAATAATAATAATAATAATAATAGAATCCTAGAGTTGGAAGAGACCTCCTGGGCCATCATCCAGTCCAACCCCATTCTGCCAAGAAGCAGGAATATTGCATTCAAAGCACCCCTGACAGATGGCCATCCAGCCTCTGCTTAATAATAATAAATAATAATAATAATAATAATAATAGAATCCTAGAGTGGGAAGAGACCTCCTGGGCCATCATCCAGTCCAACCCCATTCTGCCAAGAAGCAGGAATGTTGCATCCCAATTTCCCCTGTTGACCACTCATGCTCCTTTCTTTTGGGCTTTCCAGATACTCTCCAGACCAAGAAAGTCAGGAAGGTGCCGCCGGGCTTGCCTTCTTCGGTAAGTATCTCTTTCCTGATTAGTCTCATTGTCGTTCTATTTTAACTTGTATTATTATTGTTGTTGTTGTTATATTTTTAAGTAAATTGTATTGAGTTTCTGCGTAATAATGAAAGTGGGGGAACATATAGTTGGTATAGGAAAGCTATACATCCCCCCCCCCCCCCCAATTCGTGCGTTTCCCTGCCGGGCCTTTCTCTCCTGTTCATGTCTTCTGATGTCTAATTAGTCGTTATGTTGCTGAACAGGAGGACAGGCAGAGATTAATAGCCCTGAATCCTAGAGATGCCCATTGGTCCTAATCCCAGCGGAGGAGCGCGAGGCATTGAGATTCGGAGGAGGTCGGCGGGTGGGTGGGTTGGCCCAGCTTGCCTCAATAGGACCGCCGTGATGAATATGCATCCATCTCCAAGTCGGATGCTCCTTCCTCTGAAGCCCCAGTGGGCTCCCAGGCCGTCACAGAGAAGGCAAAAGGCTCCCAAACAAGTTAGCAGCGTTGGTGGACTCTTCTCGCTCAGAATCCTAGAATCCTAGAATCCTAGAGTTGGAAGAGACCTCCTGGGCCATCATCCATTCCACCCCCATTCTGCCAAGAAGCAGGAATATTGCATTCAAATCACCCCTGGCAGATGGCCATCCAGCCTCTGATAATAATAATAATAATAATAATAATAGAATCCTAGAGTTGGAAGAGACCTCCTGGGCCATCATCCATTCCACCCCCATTCTGCCAAGAAGCAGGAATATTGCATTCAAATCACCCCTGGCAGATGGCCATCCAGCCTCTGCTTAAAAGAATAATAATAATAATAATAATAATAATAGAATCCTAGAGTTGGAAGAGACCTCATGGGCCATCATCCAGTCCAACCCCATTCTGCCAAGAAGCAGGAATTTTGCATTCAAAGCACCCCTGACAGATGGCCATCCAGCCTCTACTTTAATAATAATAATAATAATAATAATAATAATAATAGAATCCTAGAGTGGGAAGAGACCTCCTGGGCCATCATCCATTCCACCCCCATTCTGCCAAGAAGCAGGAATGTTGCATTCAAATCACCCCTGACAGATGGCCATCCAGCCTCTGCTTAATAATAATAATAATAATAATAATAATAATAGAATCCTAGAGTGGGAAGAGACCTCCTGGGCCATCATCCATTCCACCCCCATTCTGCCAAGAAGCAGGAATGTTGCATTCAAATCACCCCTGACAGATGGCCATCCAGCCTCTGTTTAAACTCTTCCAAAGAAGGAGCCTCCACCACACTCGTCAGAGAGTTCCACTGCTGAACGGCTCTCACGGTCAGGAAGTTCTTCCTCATGTTCAGGTGGAATCTCCTTCTTGTAGTTTGAAGCCATTGTTCCGCGTCCTAGTCTCCAAGGAAGCAGAAAACAAGCTTGCTCCTCCTCCTCCCTGTGGCTTCCTCTCACATATTTATACATGGCTATCATATCTCCTCTCAGCCTTCTCTTCTTCAGGCTAAATCATGCCCAGCTCCTTAAGCCGCTCCTCATAGGGCTTGTTCTCCAGACCCTTGATCATTTTAGTTGCCCTCCTCTGGACACATTCCAGCTTGTCAATATCTCTCTTCAATTGTGGTGCCCAGAATTGGACACAATATTCCAGGTGTGGTCTAACCAAAGCAGAATAGAGCATGGGGAGCATGACTTCCTTGGATCTAGACACTAGGCTCCTATTGATGCAGGCCAAAATCCCATTGGCTTTTTTTGCCGCCACATCACATTGTTGGCTCATGTTTAACTTGTTCCCACGAGGACTCCAAGATCTTTTTCACACGTACTGCTCTCGAGCCAGGCATTGTCCCCCATTCTGTATCTTTGCATTTCGTTTTTCCTGCCAAAGTGGAGTATCTTGCATTTGTCACTGTTGAACTTCATTTTGTTAGGGAAACCAAAGGGTCTGATGAGAAAGGTTTGGAGGGGCAGCTGAGAGATCCGCACAGGGCAACAGTCCACGGCCCCCCTTCTTGCGCCTTCCCTCCTTCCTCTGCCTTTCAGAACAAACAAGGAGAGGGGAGTGAATGCCGGGCACGCTCCTTTGTTGTGTAAATGGAGATGTTTCATTCTGCGCTGCCTTCGCTGCCTCTGCTTAACACATGGCGCAGGTGCACCGGGTGAGTCATAACTCTGCGCTTTGGAGAAGTGTCCTCAGAGGGAAAGAAAGAGGGAGGAACGGAGTTGGAAGAGACCTCCTGGGCCATCCTCCAGTCCAACCCCATTCTGCCAAGAAGCAGGAATATTGCATTCAAAGCACCCCTGACAGATGGCCACCCAGCCTTTATTCAATATAGAATCATAGAGTTGGAAGAGACCTCATGGGCCATCCAGTCCAACCCCATTCTGCCAAGAAGCAGGAATACTGCATTCAAAGCACCCCTGACAGATGGCCATCCAGCCTCTGTTTAAAAGCTTCCAAAGAAGGAGCCTCCACCACACTCCGGGGCAGAGAGTTCCACTGCTGAACGGCTCTCACAGTCAGGAAGTTCTCTAAATTCATAGACCTCGTGGGCCGTCATCCAGTCCAACCGCATTCTGCCAAGAAGCAGGAATATTGCATTCAAAGCACCCTTAACAGATGGCCATCCAGCGTCTGCTGAATAATAATAATAATAATAATAATAATAATAATAGAATCCTAGAGTTGGAAGAGACCTCCTGGGCCATCATCCAGTCCAACCCCCTTCTGCCAAGAAGCAGGAATATTGCATTCAAAGCACCCCTGACAGATGGCCACCCAGCCTCTGCTTAATAATAATAATAATAATAATAATAATAATAATAATAATAATAATCCTAGAGTTGGAAGAGACCTCCTGGGCCATCATCCAGTCCAACCCCATTCTGCCAAGAAGCAGGAATATTGCATTCAAAGCACCCCTGACAGATGGCCACCCAGCCTCTGCTTAATAATAATAATAATAATAATAATAATAATAATAATAATAATAGAATCCTAGAGTTGGAAGAGACCTCCTGGGCCATCATCCAGTCCAACCCCATTCTGCCAAGAAGCAGGAATATTGCATTCAAAGCACCCCTGACAGATGGCCACCCAGCCTCTGTTAATAATAATAATAATAATAATAATAATAATAATAGAATCCTAGAGTTGGGAGAGACCTCCTGGGCCATCATCCAGTCCAACCCCATTCTGCCAAGAAGTAGGAATATTGCATTCAAAACACATCATGCGATGAGTGGGGCTTGACCAAGCCAAGGCTGGAGTTAAACATTAGCAACCTGAGATATGCAGATGATACCACTTTAATGGCCAAAAGCAAGGAAGAGCTGAGGAGCCTTCTAACCAAGGCAAAAGAAGAAAGTGCAAAAGCTCATCATCATCATCATCATCATTATTATTATTATTATTATTGTTATTATTATTGGAGACTGACTGCCCTCCCTGTCAGGTTGTTGTTGTTAGTGTTGCTATGTTGAGGAGACTGCTTGTCCTCCCTGTCAGGCTGTTGTAATTTGCCATCCAAAGGCTTCACCCCTGACAGGAGGCCATCCAGCCTCTGTTCAAAAGCTTCCAAAGGAGGAGCCTCCACCACACTCCGGGGCAGAGAGTTCCACTGCTGAATGGCTTTCAGTCAGGAAGTTATAGAATCCTAGACTTGGAAGAGACCTCCTGGGCCATCATCCAGTCCAACCCCATTCTGCCAAGAAGCAGGAATACTGCATTCAAAGCACCCCTGACAGATGGCCATCCAGCCTCTGCTTAATAATAATAATAATAATAATAATAATAATAATAACATAGAGTGGGAAGAGACCTCCTGGGCCATCATCCAGTCCAACCCCATTCTGCCAAGAAGCAGGAATATTGCATTCAAAGCACCCCTGACAGATGGCCATCCAGCCTCTGCTTAATAATAATAATAATAATAATAATAATAATAATAATAATAATCTAGAGTGGGAAGAGACCTCCTGGGCCATCATCCAGTCCAACCCCATTCTGCCAAGAAGCAGGAAATTGCATTCAAATCACCCCTGACAGATGGCCATCCAGCCTCTGTTTAAAAGCTTCCATAATAACAACAATAACAATAATAGAATCACAGAGTGGGAAGAGACCTCCTGGGCCATCATCCAGTCCAACCCCATTCTGCCAAGAAGCAGGAATATTGCATTCAAAGCACCCCTTTATTTATTTATTTATTTATTTATTTATTTATCTTGTCATCAGCAACCAACATTTGTGGAGCTTCCATGGAGATTAGGACAAGGAACAATAGCTTCAAACTACAAGAAAGGAGATTCCACCTGAACATGAGGAAGAACTTCCTGACTGTGAGAGCCGTTCAGCAGTGGAACTCTCTGCCCGGAGTGTGGTGGAGGCTCCTTCTTTGGAAGCTTTTAAACAGGGGCTGGATGGCCATCTGTCGGGGGTGATTTGAATGCAATGTTCCTGCTTCTTGGCAGGGGTTGGACTGGATGGCCCATGGGGTCTCTTCCAACTCTATGATTCTATCATTGAGAGCCATTCAGCAGTGGAACTCTCTGCCCCGGAGGGAGTGTGGTGGAGGCTGGATGGCCATCTGTCAGGGGTGCTTTGAATGCAATATTCCTGCTTCTTGGCAGAATGGGGTTGGACTGGAGGATGGCCCAGGAGGCCTCTTCCAACTCTATTATTATTATTATTATTATTATTATTATTATTATTATTTTATTATTATTAAGCAGAGGCTGGATGGCTATCTGTCAGGGGTGCTTTGAATGCAATATTCCTGCTTCTTGGCAGAAAGGGGTTGGACTGGATGGCCCAGGAGGGCTCTTCCCACTCTAGGGTTCTATGGTTCTTTAACTTCCTGTGAAAGCCGTTGAGCAGCGGAACTCTCTGCCCTGAAGTGTGATGGAGGCTCTTTCTTTGGAAGCTTTTGAACAGAGGCTGGATGGCCATCTGTCAGGGGTGCTTTGAATGCAATATTCCTGCTTCTTGGCAGAATGGGGGTGGACTGGATGGCCCA